ACCCTCCTTTTATTTGGCTGCTAGGGGGAATCGGTCTGCACATATAATCGTATGCATTCATACCGGCTTTTAATAACCATCTTAATTAAGGCCACTGTACTAAAGATGTCATACAAAATCTCTGAATTAATCATTTCACACGCCCATTGAATACAAATGAATAAGAACTATATATATACTTCTTGTGCCCAATTTGTAATGATCGTCGGATTTAAGATTTCAATTTAATCTGATTTACATTCTAATCTAAGGTGTGCGGGCATATGTAAAACGATACATTTTATATCCGCGAAAAACACTACGGTGTCTTAACTTACAAAGAAGGGCAAACATTTTATTTTATTTTATTTCGGAAACGCCGAGCCAATAGCCGCAGCCTAATTATCTTCATTAGTCACGCGCACACGTGGCGCGTCACAGTAACACGAATCATCGCGTGCGGACGTAGCAATCGGGGAACCCATCCGTGGCGTCTTTAATTCTTGGTGCGCACAGAGGTGGGGCGGGCAGGTGGAGAAGACGACGACCTGACGATCGCAAAGAGGAGATCACAACCCCACCAACCAACCACCCCACCAACCACCCCACCGCCACCCACGCAAAGAAATGCACACACGATGCCCCTTCGCGAGGCCTGACGTTATTCTGCCGCGTGCTGCCACCCAAACGCAAGGGGTGGGTGGTGGGGGGAGCTCCCTGCCTAAATTGTGGCTCACGGGTCAAGATAAAAATTGCAGCGACGCTACGCAATCTTCTCCATGGCTGGGAGGAAAGACAAAGGAGGGTGGGTGGAGGATCCATTCCCCCACCCGTCCAGACTTCCCCTCCAAACCAACCTCCTCCCTTCCACCCGATATGCCAACACCACCACCACCACCGTCTCACAAACACGAGTGTCCGCTTTAACCCGTTTATTTCAACTGCCGCAGAGTGGGGCTGGCCGCCTATGCCAAAAAAAAAACATTTATGTTATTGTTGTTTAAACGTGCAAACATTTTTTTTTTAAAAGCCGCTGTCGTTTTTTTTTGTCGATAACGTAGCAGAGGTCGCCTCCGTGACGTCTGGCGCGTTCTTCGCGTGCGATCTGTCCGAATTCAAAGTTGCGTGAGCTTCTTGCAGAGGCCTCGGCTGGTTGGAGGGAAAGGGTTAGCGAGCGAGCGTGCGTGTGTGTGAGCAACGTTCATGAACACCACCACCACCAGCAGCAGCACCACCACCACCACACTCCTTCTCCTCTCCAGCCGTAACCCATGCCGACCACCTGTGGTGTTGTGTGTGGCAGAGACACGCGCTTATTCCGCGTTGCAATTCGCAGCAAACGGTTCAGCGACGTCTCCATTGTAGGGAAAACGGATTATCGCTCTGTGCGCGTGTTTATATTGTTGCAAGACAGAGTGGGGTTTTTGTTTGGTTGTTTAAGAGTCTCGCTGCTGCTGCTGCTGCTGCTTCTTGAAGAAAAATGCTTCTCGGTGAGTTAAATATGTGTTGTGTTGCTTTGCCGAACAGAAAACTAAAATCACAGGGACATGAATTAAATAAACGTTTGCTTTTCATAGCTTTGCTGTGTGTGAGCCTGTTAAATAACCTTTCCAGCCAGGGCCTATTATTGGATTGGTTTATGCTTTAAAGAGTCAGGAATGCAATGCATTGTTCTTGCAAAACTTAAATCGCAGATCTCAATTTACAGATTCGTATTGGATATACTCTTTATACAAATATATTTTTTAAAATAAAAAGCACCGTAGTTGTAATGCAATTGCTACTTTGCTTTGCATGGTGCTAACCATTTTTGGTCAGTGAAATTAAATATTCAAAGCCGATAAAATATTATATTTAGAAAGCCGTATTTTAAAGTAATGAAGGTCCTATGTTTCATAAATTGCATTTTGTAATCTAAGAACTTTACTGCACAGCTAACAAAAAATAATTATTACTTACTGTACATTATTTATATTTATCTCAGAGGTTGAATGTTCACAAATGTAATATTCAACTTTTCAGGTGTTTTAATTGTATTAATAACGTTAGTTTTGTTTGACTGTATTGTATGAAAAAGACAAACATTGCTTTGTATTGTATATAATATGTAGAGCATATCAGTGTGGTACTCACTGTTTTATAGCTTTGTCAGGTTTTTTAAAAAACATAAATGGGATTCAATATTGATTCAAAAATCTGAGCCATTGTTGGCTTATCTTAGAATGCTATACGCCTCCCGTGTATGGTTATCGCTTACACGTGAGTTTAAATGTGGAGAAGAGCACTTAAAAAGATACGTTTATATAAGAAAGGGCGAACTGAAATTATTTGTGAAAAATGCATAAATGTAAAAGTTATCTCAGGGATTCTGTAACTTGATGTTTTGAAGTGTCTTCATGGTTATCTGTAGGTTGGCATCATTTACCTTTCAGAGTACAATGTCTCTCTGTACCGCATAATTAATATATCATCTTCCACCCCATGGATCATAATACAATTTCGTTTTGGAAAATACGGCAGTTGTATGACCATTTAGAATGAGCATTCAGAATGTATTTTTTTCCCGCCATCTTTTTCAAAGAACACAATTGAACGAAAATAATTAATCTATTTTGTAAACAATAGCTACGTTTGATATATGTACGGAAAACACATCTGATAGGTGCAATATTATCGGTATTGAATTTGGGGGGAAAAAACTGCTTCATTTCACAATTTTGTCACGTGAATAGTTTGCAATTTTTCACAAAACAACATATATTTTTGCGTGCTCGTAATCTTTGTTTGGAATATCAGCTGTAGTTGTAACAACTTGGTAATGCTAACGTATCATTATGCAAATCATTGGCAGGGCCAACCACGTACATTCATGAGAGTGGTCACCGTAATAAGATAAAAAAAATTTTTAGCAATTGCACATTGCATTGTTATATATGGCCACTTTTTGGGGTGCTGCTAGTTGAGTGTGAATTTCTCGCATTGCAAGTTGAATATCCGTCATTATCAGCAGCCGCCGTGATCAATTCACTTGCTGAACGAAGGCTTTGCCAAGCCGTTGTAATATTTATTGATTCCGTGATATAATAAACTATTTAAAACTATTTTAAGTTTTCCAGGTAAGGCCCACTGAGCTATATAGCTCCTTTTCAGAAGTGACCTGGCCACAAATGTTAGCTCAACAAAGTGGCTTATCACGTGTAAATTTCTAGCAGACAAATATTCTATGTAAGCGTACGTTTCTAAATGTGGAGGGGGAAAAACCGGAGGACCCGGAGAAAAATCCACGCTACCACGGAGAGAGAGAGAGAGACACGCAAATTCTAAATATGCAGGCATTGTCAGGGTCTGGATCTAGCCGACGACCTCCTGTATACCAGGCGAGGCAGTTAACATCTCGCTTGAGCACCTGCACGCGAGTCAAATTCATCGCTGCACGTCCTCCGTTGAGCCTCCCTGCCGCATCGCTGCACAGCCACCTTGGTAATTCTCGACCACCACGACGTGACCTGCCGAAGCCCTAACTCACCCTTCTCACACACGTCAGAGAGATGCACAGCGCAACCTCAAAAGCATGTACAGTCGTAATATATAAATCCCATGACGGTACATTTGTAAACGTGAATATAGTCAAATATGTACTGATGATCGCCAACATCATTATTGCTTATTACAATGTTAACGATGTCATTTACATATTACGAAGTGCCGTAAGCAGTGTCCCCCCCCACCCCCACCCCGATCCCACATTTATTTATGCGAAGGGATTCCATCCTAATTTGTCCCGTGTCTTCCTTGGGCTCTGGAGTGGTTGTTAGCATTAACATTTATTATTTCAGTTTGGACTGCCACCAAAAAAGGTTAATGGATTCTGATTCCATATTTTAGAAGAGTGATTTAGCAAGCAGGCACTGCTCGGCTTCCCGAAGCCCATTGCCGTATTCTGTGCACACAACCGCCGAGCGTTAAAGCATTGGCATTATATATATTTTTTGCCTAATCTGTTCTGAAATTGTACATAACGTTTAATGAGGCCTCTTTGGTTTGTTTTGCCTTTGTAGCATTAAAAAAAAGTAAAACTATACCAAAATGTTACGTTTAACAATAACAAATAAAACTTGGTGGGAGGAAATAAAATTTCATCCCAAAAAAGTAAAAAAAATCAAAATTAAACAGTGCCGAACCGAGGTGAAATATGAAGCACTGTGTAAAGCAACCCTGACTTTTGAAATTAAATTCTGCAGCAAAATGCCTACAGGAATTACTCGTGTAGACAGTGGGGAAATGTCATGTTTGCCAAGAGAAATGATCAGCCTTGCAAAAAAAAAAATAGGTAGCGAAAGGAAATGCAAGGTAGATAATGTTGCAGTAAATGGGTTTCAGGTCGTTCGTTTTTTTTTAAGAAACGGTTTTATTGGGATCGTATTTTAGCACAATACTTTCACTACCGTTAAAAAAACGGGGCTTAAAATAGGATGGTCAATTAAAATCAGGCGTCAGTGTTTTAACAAAAATCGAGAAATATGGAACGCATTTTCTTGTATTCGTCGTGAACATTTTGAGAATTTTTTTTCCCCCTTTTCGAAAACACACGGCCCTCCTTTTACAGGATAATTTTCACAAGTAAACGACTAAAGCAGAATTTAGACACCCCCCCGCCATCCAGAACTCAACTGTATTACTCTCGTAATCCGACAATAAAAACAAATCGCACTACACGTTGCATCACAATAACACGTCCTGACGCCCTGTGTTTCCAACCCTTCCTTCTGAGCCGAGCTACTAGCCGCCAATTATACGCAACATCAAACCTGTTCTTTCTGGCTCTCCGAGTTGCAACATTACTTAGATTGGTTTTATGCGCATAGCATTGGGTGGTTTAGGGCGGTGGGGGGTGGTGAACATGTCCGGCTTGGATCATCACACCGGTGCAGTGGCCATGAAGAGGTAATTAAAATGAAAGGAAGTTTTGAGAGTGGCGTGTCTGTCTGTTTGTCACGTCGATCTGTCCCCGTCTTGTGCAGCCAATGCTTGCCCGGGAGGAATACTTCCTGCGATGGTGAGGGGCCCGACTGGACTCCTGCAGCCCGGTCTGGATATCAATCCGCTGCTGCACTTCCCTCTCCTCGCCAACCTCAACAACAATGTGCGTCCCGCTTACACCTTGAGTCCGTTGACTCGCGGATTGAAAATACATTTTCGCGCGCTCGCTAAAATTGTTTCGTTTGTATATTTTAAAGTGATTCGATTACCTTTCCTATACTTAGCACTCCTGTTTTGTGTTCGTGTTGTTTGCTGTTGTAACGTTCTGACCTGCCCCGACTGGACATTCGTGAAAAAGAGTTTTATAGCTCATCGGATTCCGCCAGAAAAAAAACAGAATCTATATTCTGATTCAAATACGTGCGTCGAATTGCGCGATTGAGATCCTATTATTGACCATTCCTGCACTGTGTGCCTTTAACTTTTGGATGATTTATCAAAGTGATGTCCTGCTCCTCTACTTTTTAACAGCTATGAGGCAGTGGTGAAAATTCCACATTCCTATTACAGGGGGTAAATTGAATACAGAGGACAATTACTGTTGACTTCCCCAAAAAAGTGGGGAGATGATGGGCTGCATTAATTCCCAACCAGGATTTTAACTCGCAACCTTCCGATCGTGAGCTGGCCTCACTCCACCCCTCAGTGGCCGAGGCCGACTACAGGGGTTATGGAGCAAACAAATGCGTGCGAATGACAAAAGTGAAAGAGAGAAACGAACACAAAGCGAGGCAATGACAACGAGAGATAATTTATTTTGGAATTTTATCGCGACTATGAATTCGCGACGATTTGTCGAACCGTGGTGAGATTGAAGTGCTGCACGCCTGCGTTGCATCATCTCTGTTACACACGCGCACGCTCGCACGGTCACTCACGAGTGACCCATGCTCAATCATCCTTTTAAGAGACATATATTGTCAATTCCTCCTTCCCCCACCTTGGCCATATCTCATTAATATGTTGGATAATCCAAAAAATGGGCTCTATCGCAATGAATCACATCTTACTTAATGAAAATATGCATAATGTGTCAACGCGGGTTCTCACAATGAACTCTTATAATTAGATAATTTTTCAAACACTTTTTTGCATTAGCACCTTCAGCGTCGGCACTTTCAATTGCGCATCAACTTTCTAGCGGCAGAATTTATTTTAGAGTGGGTAATGATTAAAAGTGCACACTGCGCACACTGATATTAATAGTACGTATGTGACGGCATTTGAGTAAAAAACACTCGATGAAAAAATCTGCGGAAAGTTTTCCGTGGCATGACAGCTTGGGAAAAATGAGTCATGCAGTTGTAGAAACAATGTGTCTAGAGCAGTATTGAAAATTAGTTTACGGAACAATAGTGATATTGGTTTTTAACCTGTGATGACCTTGTGGAATGTTGTCAATACCTTTTTTTGTCGAGGACTCTTCATGAAAATGTAAATAGAAAGGGGCGATGGGAGTAAAAAAATAATAATCACAAATTTAGAAACACATCACGGACAATAATGTAAATTAAAACTAGGGGAATAATATTTTAAAGATGATTACCATTACCGAAATATCACCACATAAAATATTCTTGTGAGTAAAATGCGGCATATGAACCTTATGGCTGTACCCCGGGGTACCATAGTACCCCGGCTCTCGCATAATGTCCGTGATGCAGTCATTCTTAGTCTGTTGATGGTCGGCGATGCGGCAATCGACTCATCTCGACGAGCTGTACACTACGATGCACCACTGTGGTGCTATCGAGAGCATTCAGAGTTTAAGCGCATTCGTCCTCGCTGCGTTTCGACATCGCGGAGTAGAACCGATTTCGGATTGATTGGTACCCCAGTTGCGGAGTTAAATACACCCCTGGAAAAAAATAGTGTCCCAGAAATAACATATTTCATTGCCTCGGCCATTGTGTATTATTTGGTACCCCGGGGTACCGCCATAAGGATCATATGTTTCCCAAATAAGAATACACTTGAATTACATTCATGGACATTTTATTGAGGCTAGGGCAGTAACCTCGGAGATGGAGCAATTCAATGGGCATGTGTGCAGTTGATAGGTGGATTACAGCACAGCAGGATTGTGATATTCAGTGGCAGCTTTGGGACGCCTTCTTCTGGCAACGGATTGACCATGGCTGCTATTGATGGTAGAGAGGAGACACTACGTAAAGAGCTGCCAAGCTTGGGCATCATGTTATTGTTGCAGATTCAAGCATTTTAAAATATATTATTATTATAGAAGGAAAGGCATGAGACGGTAAGTATTCCAGTCAATGAAAGCTGTTTATGTTGACCGGTGAATAATCCAATGGATGGGCGGTGTTGTGTAAAAGGAATATTTTAATCGCGTACACGAACGTTTGAGTGATGAAAACTCCAAGACGAGGGCAGAAACACCGCGTGGCGTCCCCCTGACGTCACCCCGTGTACCGCTGATCCCATCTGTAATTGATTGTCAAACTATTTCGCGATAAAACCACTACTCGCACAAGCCAAGGATAGTCCAGGAACAACAGCAGCAACGGCGGTCACCTACACCATTGGAAAGTGGCCTCATCAAACGGTTGCGCAGGGTGTTGTCTGACACGGTGACGGAAGACACCCACCCTCTAATCCGCGGTCAATTGCGTGACCCATCTGGTGGCCATGGGGGAGGCATTACTCGGCAGCAGGTGTTACTGGTGACGTACCATGGACCTTCTTGGCTCAGTGGGTCTTACCCGAAATAAACTGAGGCAAAAGCGCGCAAGTGGTGTGGAAATGGCTTCAGCACAGTTGTTGCCAGCATCCAAGTGTTCTATTTTACATCTCGGTTGAAAAGGTCACTTTGCCTGGTTTAAAAAAATATATATATTTGCTACGTAAAATGATGGTACACGCTTTCACGTTGCGCCTGAAGGGAAGACCGTCAGATGTGTGGCATGTTTGCAAGTGTCGGTGGATTGTGTCAAGCTACTCAATTGCAGCGCACCGGGCACGCCTGGCTCAGGATATTGCGCCTGCTAGAGCAAGATACACGATCCTTGACGGGACCTGCTCAGCTGACTCCTTTTGCAATAACATATTAAGGGACTCTTTTGGCAGTGGTGCACAGCACACAAATCAAAATGTGCCAACGTATTTGTCGTCCTCACTGCCTAATAACAGAAAATAAACGATCATCCTCACCATCAGTCACGATTTATTTACTACTGGATGAATGGCTCCCCAGACTAAAGCCACCCGCCCCTCATGGTCTTGTGGTGCACATGAGCTCGACAAACGGGGCTCTCGAAGGCGTATGGGGCAGCGGCGAACATTGACTATTGTCCTGTGCTGATGCGTCCTAATGAGGACGAAACTGCTCTAGGTTGGTGTCTTTGCTTCACTGCTGCCTGTTGTTGGGACGGCCACACTTCTCAACTGTTTGGGGTCCGTGGTGCAAATGACCTAATGGCCGCGCATTACGTTCTTTCGAGCTGGTGGTCTGGAGAGCTAATTGTCCATTCTTCAGAGCAATTCTGAGGAATGCGCGATTGTTCCAAAAAATTGCCTGCTATATTATCCTGTTGTAAGGCACTGTTAATGCCGAATGTATTGAGTTTATTTTCCATATGTACCTCCTTTTTACTGCATGTCTGGCCCGAGTATATAGATCACATCCAGCTGCTTACAGACCCAACTTCGTCTTTACCTGGGTCATTGTATACAATTTCGAGGGCAATTCAACGGTGGCTCTTAGGCTAAAAATGCGTTTATGCAACAGGGCTCTGCGTCTTGTTTAGTACTATGGGAAGGGTGCAGGAGTTTTTCAAAAGCGCTTGTAAAAAATCACGAGCAAGGCACTGTGATCTAGAAACTGATGGGTTTTCTTTACTAGCACCACCCACGCATTTGCGATGCACGAACTGCACCTCCGATCGGCACGGTTGGCTACCTACGGCGCAAAAGAAGTTCAGCATACATACATACACACGAACCGGGCTCAACACTGTGGGATGCGGGTGATGTCATCACGCACATCTGCGTGGTGACGACTCTGCGCACATCTGCCAGAAAGGCAGGCAGCCAGCCAGCCAGCAAAACGTTGGTCTAATATACAGTCATTTGAAAAAGCAATACATTTTGCTTCTTAAGAAATGGTCTCACGCTTGGGAGAAAAAAACCTTATTATCTGCTCTTACACCTCTGTCTGACTGCACAATACATTAATCACAACCGTAGTCTTCCTTCAATGGAGGAATAGGAAACACTCCACGAAGTCTCCACTGAAGTGCTCTCGTCGTGGCGTGCAGGCCTCGGGCATTGGCATTTAGCTCCTGAACAAATTACCGCCACCATTCGCGAGAATGGAATGGTGCCCACGAGTGGCGTAGTGAACTGCATTATCAGCTCAGGGTGCACGGCAATCGGTCAGGTGGGGTCCCAAATGCTGTTCAAAACACATCTCACGGCGGTTGTCAAGGAAGGAGGGCATCAACTCGTAGCTTTGGCCACCGGGGTGGGGGGGGGGCAAAATACCCCGTGCCCCCACGCTAGCTACGCTGCTGGTGCAGAGGAGGGTAGGATTAAAGGGCTTGCAGAAAGTGGACAGGATCTCAGTTGTGGTAGCGTATGGACGTGAGGCTCTGTCTGCGACGAGGCGAGTTGACCTCTGTGGGTTTTGTTACGTGCACGACCTCCACGTTTAGGCACAGGCGACAAGTATTGTTTTTAAAAATTCTAGATGTATAGCGTACTTTCCGATTGAAGGCAGAATCCACATTCCTACGTTTTTGATGTGCAGTTTTACATTTGATGTAATTTTGAACCATCACATATATAAGTAGGGTTTATGTGATTAATAGATATTAGTGCGTGTTTCTTTCTTCCAGAATCTGAAGAATGGCATTGTTAAGAAGTTCTTGTGCCAGGAATAATTAATTCCTAGACCAAATAGGAGCAGCGCTGCTGGCTATAGTGTGCCTGCGTGATAAATAGGTTGGGTTGGATGCTTATTTTCCATTTTTAAATCTTTTGACATGGACATTAGCGCGTCAGATAGAGGTGAGAGTATGAGGGAGCGCTCGCATTTAATATCTCTTTGTACTATGTACCGCTGTTATATTATGGAGGAGTCTT